TAAATAATAATAATTTAAAATTGGGAAGGGTGTACGCCAAGGATGTATTCTCTCTCCATACCTTTTCAATCCGTATGCAGAACAGATCATCCAGGACACTGGGATGTACAAGGAGGAATGTGACATCACAATTAGAGGAAGATACAACAACCTGCATTATACAGATGATTCAACCCTGCTTGCTAAAACTGAGGAGGACCTGAAGCACTTGCTGCATAAGGACTGCAGCCTTCAATATGCGTTGAAGCTCAATATCAAGAAAACAAAGATTCTCACCACTGGGCCGATTGGCAGCATTATGATGGGTGGTGAAGATACTGAGATTGTTAATAGCTTTAGTTTGCATGGCTCCACAGTCAACATGCTTGGTACCAGCAGCCGGGAAATCAAGGGACTAATTCCATTAGGAAAGTCGGCTGTCGGGGACCTCCCCAGAGTACTAAAGAGCAACAATGTGAGTCTGGAGACTAAGATGCGCTTGATCCAAGCCATATTCTTCGTAATTGCTTGCTGTGCATCAGAGAACTGGACAATGGCTAGGAATGATAGAATTGATGCCTTTGAGCTGTGGTGCTGGAGAAGAGTTTTGAATATATCATAGACTGCCAGGAAAACAAACAGATTCGTTCTAGAGAGGGTGAAGCCAGACTGCTTCTTGGAGGCAAGGATTCTGAGGCTTCATCTGATATACTTTGGGCATGTTGCAAGGATGGACCAGTCCTTGGAGACGGACATCATGCTTGGAAGGTGGAAGGACAGAGAAAGAGAGGGAGACCATCAATGAGATGGATAGATACAGTGACTAGGGTAATGTGGATAGGTGTGTCGGAGACAGTAAAGTTGGCGCAGGATAGAGCAGGTTTCAGGGCTGTTGTATATAAGGTTGCTATGAGTCACAAGTGACTTGACAGCACATAACAATAAATAATATATAATATAATAAAAGCATAAATAATAAAAGAGAATGAAGTAAGTAATGATTTAGCATTACATGATAGGAAGGAAAGAAGGAACTATCCTTGGAGGGCCAGCTTAAATTGTAAGATAACAGAACCTACTGATTAAGTTGTGTCTCTGAAGTACTGTGTTTCTAGGAAGATACTGGCAGTATTTGTTCAAGCTATTATTAGTGCAGAGACTAGAACCCCATAAATTAGACGCTCCTGCCAACTGTTACCCGAGACTGGACCTACACAGTGAAAGAAGCCAGCCCGCCCACTCGTTGCAGAATATCAAAGACTACAGCCTTCCATATGGATTGCATCTCAACATCAAGAAAACAAAAATCTTCACCACTAGACCAATACGCATCATGGTAGATCGAGTAAATTGCTGAAAATCAGTACTGTCAGTTTAAATACCTAGGTGAACCTGATCCAAGCTATGATCTTTTTAATTACTTGCTGTTCATGTGAAAGTTGGATAATGAAGAAGGATGACAGAAGAATAATCCATGGCTTTGAATTGTTGGATAGAGTACTGAATATCCCATGGAATATCAAAAGAACAAACAGATATGTCTTGGAGCAGGTGGTGCTCCTTGGAGGCAAGGATGGTGAAGCTTGAGGAGGGGGCTCGTCCTTGGGAAAGGACATCATGCTTAGAAAGGTAAAGAGTCTGCTTAAGAATGGAAGCCCCTCAACAAGATGGATTGACATAGTGCCTGTAACAATGGGCTCAAGTGTATCAGGGATGGTGAGAATGGCACAGGATAGGGCAGGGTTCAGACCCATTGTTCATAGGTTGCTGTAAGTTGTAGTTGATTCAGTGACACATAACAACACCCAGCAGCCTCGTGGCATAGTATATTTGTCACATGCTGGACTGCCAACAAAAAGGTCAGCAGTTGGAATCCACCAACTCCTTTGTGGGAGAAAGAGAGACCATCTTCTTCCATAAAGGTTTATAACCTCAGAAATCCAGTGGAGGGTCACTGCTATGAGATAGGATGGGCTTGGCAGCAATGGTAGGACCCACTATTACTGAAAGCTAAATAGCAGAATTCACATAGTTATATTTCCTTCCTCTGGTCACTTAACATAACAATTTAGTGGTCTCTCAGTATTTTCATACACACATCAAGTATATTTCCATACTACATTTAGTTTTTCATTTCTGAGTTTTCTTTCTCTTCCTGTATTCCTTCCTGAATTGGAAGATTGAGACAGGATGGAATTAGAGAGCTGGAAAAGTCTAAGGACTCTTTAAAGGCCACTGACAAAACTGGGTGTTTTTTTTGTTTTGTTTTTAATTTGCTAAGTTTGAAAAATCTAGACTTGATAATTTATTCAACTCTGTACAGGGAGACTGAAAATACCAAGTATTTATACAATGTAGTTTTCTTTTTGCTTCTGGAAGCAATTATGAAATATGTTGTTCAGTGCAGTCAGGTCAGCTGTGATCCATAGGAACCCTGTTTGCAAAGCCTTGTCTGAACCTGCACTACCTTCACAGTCTGCCACCTGTTGCAATCCTTCTGTTAATTCACCTTGTTAAAGGTTGTAAAAAGGGCAGGGGCTGCATAGGGAAGGCCGTATCTGACCTTTACAAAAGGGAACTGTCTCTATCAACAATAACAGCAACACAAAACCAGTTCCCATGAGATCAGACATGTCCCCTTCGTTCCTCTACCTATTTCTTTTCATCCCAGTGCCAATCTTACTACTTTACTGGGTCAAAAATCCATTGCAATAGCTCACAAACCATACAGAATCATAAAGTCAGAAGGTTAATTCAATTTAGTTGCAGAATACAATCACTCAGTCAAGACAACTCCCAAAATATGTTCAGACACCTCACAGCTGTAGGCTCTTCTTGTTGTTGTATACCATAGAGTCAGAACCGACGCATAGCTGACCCTCCAGTAGGTTTTCTGAAGCAGTTTATCACACAGAAGCAGCTGGAGGCCTTGAGCCACCTATGTTTGCAATTGCAGTGCTCCTTCTTGCCACTAGGTCACCTTAGTCCTGCCAGTTAGGGCACTCCCCCCTGACCTCCCAAGTCCTCCAATAATTTGGGTAAAATGCTTAGCTCAGAGTTCACGGCAGAGCAATCCTCTCAGGTCTCTGGTTCTCTGCTGCAGGCTGTTAGGGTACTGCTTGCCGTAGACCCGGCCCCTAGGACACACCGTGTTCTCCAACTCTGTTGTTGGATCCACTCAATTTCATGCTGAGGCTAGCCAGTCCCCTTGTGGATAGGTTAACACACCCTATTTGCATATCCTGCCCATCCACATGTCAAAGTTAATGGCTAAAAAGGCTGTTTTAAACAATAAACCATTAACACCGTAAAGATTTTCATCTCTTTTGATCACTCTCTGCTTTTGCAGGCATGATGTCTTTCAGGGGCTGACCACTCCCGATAAACTATTGTGCACAGTTTTCAAGGTCCCATTATTTCAAAAATAGATAGCCAAGCCTACTTCTCTGTTTTAGTCTAAAAGCTCCTCTGAAACCTCTTCAGCATGGTCAGCCCTGCTGCTGTTTGAGATATTGCTGGCATAGCTTCCAAATCACAACACCACACAAGTTACCACAGTACATCAAGCTGACAAACAAGTGGTGGTATGAAATACAGCTTAGTCAAAAATATTCAATACTGACTGATCTCTCCTTTAGGTCCCTACAGTGTTCAAGGTCACAGGGTCAAAGTATACCAGCCAGAAGGGGAAGAAAGTTGGCATTATGGTGTTGTAAGTCATCAGGACACTATCACCCGTCTTATGGAGGTATCTATAACTGAGGTGAGCATCTGTGTCATTTAGTTTAAGGCCCACCTGTCCTCTTCCAAAAAATGGTTTAGAGAAAGAGTGCAAATCAGTGTGTAAGATGTAGGTCCCATTCTTGGTTCTATCACTTAATAGCTATATGATGCTAAGAAAAGCCATTCAACTTTCCTCAGTTTGCTCATGTGTAAATTAGAGTTAATTATATAACTCTCCAGTGACCTAATAGTGCGATTTTGGGAGCCAGGCAAATATATTTGAAAGCACTTTGAAATCTATTAATCTGTTAATCTATTAATAAAAAATGTGTGGAGTCAGTGTAGAGAAATCATTTCCCAAAAGTCAGTGCCCTGAATTCAGTCTACCAGTCTCCTATAAACTATGAGAAAATAAATGTATCTTCTTTAAAGTTCAAAAAAAGAATATTATCATTATTTTATCTCATATTTATAAACTTAGTAGAAAAGAGTAGTTAGCAGTTGTTTTTGTACTAGTTCT